AAGAATGATATATTTATTATATTGAATACTATCAAATTAGAATATCGATATTTTAGAAAGCATTAATAGTAATCTCTAGAAGATCTGGTTTTTAATACTCCAACTTGAATTTTTTGAAATCAATAAATATATCTTATTGAAATTATTTATTTGATCTGTATATATCTACATTGTAAGCATGACTGTAATTCTTTTCGTCAACAATGTTTATTTATTTATAGTGTTATTAAAATTTTGTCACCAAATTTATATTTGATGGTATCGAATTTTCTCAATCTCAACACCATAATTTATTATATTAATATACTTATGAATTGTGAATTAGGAATAATGAATTATTTATTTTATACTTTATGAATAAAGTATACAGTAATTTTATTACTTAATATTTTATTATTTACACAAACATTTCTTCAAATGTTGCGTAAAATTAATATTATTTTGTAAAACAATATATTTATCAGTTATTGTGTGATATTAAGATTGTATATATTTTCAGACAAAGTAACAAATCGTATACATAGTGCATTTGAAGAGATTTTTTATTGGTTTGAACTTAATTTTTGGTTTTTAAATGCTAGACCTGAAAAAATGTGTTTATGATTGCATTTACTTTGTCTGAAATGCAGATTGGATGTTGAAACATCTAAGGGAAACGTATTGCCAAATAGGAACTTCCGTTGTTTATTTTATTTTGTATTAATTGTACTTAATAAGACGTTTTATTACATTTGCCAGAATTATTTTGTAAGAATCAACTATTATATTATATAAGTTTAGTTATAGTAACTACTTTTAACCAAATATGAAAAGTTAAATACTTAAGAAATGCTACTCTTCGATTACTTAATGTAATATAAGTCATTTTATAATTTTTTTACGTTTAAATTTTTGATATGTTTATTTTAAACTTGGTTTCTTCTAGTCACACTATGTATTTTATATTTGAAATTAGCAATACTTAAACATTGTCTGAATTTAATATTTATTAAATTAAATAACATAACAGACAATTCTTTTTACTTCTCAAATCACATAATTTGTTGTTATATTTTTCTTTTTATTATTATTTATTTATAAATGTTATAACATCTTTCTGGATAATTAATTCTTGTAGAATGAATTGGCAAAGTAGCTGTAACCAAGCAGTAGTACTGAAGATATTTGCAAAGTGGAAATATCTACCCAATTATAAAAGTGAGTTTGTAATGTATACTTATAATGTATTTATTTGCATTATAATTAAAATAAGATTTGTATTTTTTATTAAAATTGCCTTTTCATTATAGGCCACTTTGTGCAGTCGGTGCTTGGATTCCTTTTTGGAAAATGAAACATTGGAGTTTGTAGTACCCATTTGCGCTTTCAAACACGCAAAGGAAGTGTATTATTTGGATTGTAGAAAATGTACAATGAAATAGGTATAGTAAAATTCTATAAAAACAAGAAGAGAACACCATTTTATAATTTTAACTTTGGGTTGATACACTTGCAAAAAACGATGAGGTTCAGTTACAAATTTTTGGATGCATTTAAATATTGCTGATTTATTATAAGATTTACGTGGAAGGTATTGATGCACTTTCAATTATTCGAGAGATTTAATCGAATTTTTTGATGAAGAAGAAGAAAATGAGTGTTTCTTACTAATACACCTGAAATTTGTTTACGTATTGAATTGAAACTCGTTTCAATGTTCTTTACAATATTTCCAATTTTTTCAGACTATGAAATAATAATCATGTAAACAAATAATTATCGTCTCGGGTCTTGAAAACATAAGTTCTCGATTATATTGAAAAATTTAAAAAAACTTAAAAAATTGTAACGTTAAACAAAAAGTATTAAATTTTTTTAATTATATAAATTTATATTTTCAATATATTTTACGTTAACAAACATATGAAAAATACTTTAGCAATTAATTCATTAGTGGTTGATTATCCTTTATATCTGTAGTATAGTCAATTACAGATAGAAATATCTAGGTCAATGTGCCAGAGCCAAAAATTTCAAAATCACGCCCCACTACCCGCATCAGTGGTAAAGGTCATATCATTGGAAAAGGCGAAAGCGCAACAGTCAGTTCGTAAAATAAAGATCTCCAGAAATCGGAGCGTGCGCTTTATGAACATGCCAGGGTGCATTTATATAATTTCAAATGCACTGGTACCTGTTCAAAAAATATTTGATGAAGCAATTCATAATTCGGTAATAGTAAAGAACATTCGCTATAGTTTTTTTCTAAATCAAATTTTGAATTTGTTACCAAAGGAATTTCGGATAGAATGCACATGCGTGTAGCAATAATTGGAAGAATTATATGATCCGCGTATAACTCTCAATATCTGCATCATCTTGAGGTTTTTTTTTTGACTAATACTGATTTTTAACTTTAATATCTTTTTGTTGTCAAAAGTTTTATTAGACCAAACACTCTTTTAGATTATAGTATTATTAATTTATTTTCAATCATAAATTTAAAAAAAATGAATGCTTATAAACTTTGATATAAACTTCTGCATTATTAATTCTACATTAATCAATATTACATATCTATACAAAGTAAAATTAAATTGAAAATAGTAAAAACAATAAAATAGAACGGATTGTATGCAAACATATATTTGCCCATAAAGGCATCAAATATAGGTAGGATATTGAAAGAGATCTTTTCTGACATTTACTTTGCAATTAATATTTATTTTAATGTTGTCGATTAAGTGGTGATCCAGAAATCGCTGAATTATATGCGACCACAAATCGAATGCCTATAAACAGGGCCGGTCCTGGGGTACTCAGGACCCGCATGCAAATTTTTTTCTAGCGCTTCCCTCCTCCCCCTAATATTTTAACTTTTTGAACAATTTATCATAAAAATTATATAAATATTTAGGTTAATTTTTTTAAATGTTTTTTAATAAATCTGGATTTAGTACACAAAAAAATAGATATAAAATAAATGCGTATAAAATACATTTATTTCTAACGCATGTGTAATATTAATATTTGGGATTGGAAACATTTTACTTATTTATTTTGGGGGTTTTTATGCGATTTATTATATTGAGCAAATCATAGAGAGCAAAAAAATTCTAGCCTCTCATTATTAAACATAGCACTGCAGTCGTGGAACCATGGTTCATGTTGGATTATTTTAATTTAATTTTTCATTATTTAAAATGTCTAAAATTGCATCGTAAACTTCTCCTAATTGATATCGTAATGCCGAAGTGTATGTATTGTTGTTTAAGAGTTAAAATTAAATTAAAAATTATTGTCCAAGATTAGTAAAAGATGCAATGAAATTTAATATTTTTTGAATGATATTGAAAAAACTATATTATAAATTTCATATCCGAAACTCATTTTGGCGCCCCTTAAGGCGTGCGCCCACATTTTTTGCATGCATCGCATTCAGGGTAGGACAGGCCCTGTCTATAAAACTTACACATTTTTATAAAAGATAATAATATTTTTAATTACCTGTTAGTTCTGGTCACCTGGAGTTTGTAGATACGAATTGATTTTTTGGAAATTGATATGAGATCACATAGAACTATTTTTGTTTATTTTATTTCAAAATAGAACTCTGTTTAAGTGGTGGTTGTAACTACAAAGCGAAAGTACATATAAATTTTAGATGAATAAGGCTTTCTAAAAAAAATGAAAAAAAGCCTATTTCATCTGACCTGATTGATCTGATACCACTTTCTTTCAATAGTAGGTGATTAAATATCCGTTAAAATTTATGATGATAAAGTTTAAATGATTAACTTCCCGTAGGGTAAGTTATAGTAATCGCAAAAAATCGAAAATGCAAATTTTTATATATCTTTACGTTTCAGAGGTTTCTGAACATTTTGGCATACCTTAGAAAAAATGGATGTATGTGTGTGTGTGTGCGCGCGCGTGTGTGTGTGTGCGGATACAAATTTTCGTCGACGATTTCGGGAACACGGTTCAACCGATTTCGATTATTGAAAAAACATTCGATTGCTGTTGATAAGGAGACGTGTTGATTAGTTTTTGGCATAAGCAGGTCTTGCTGTTCCGAAGATACAAGGCAAAAAGTGCCGCAAACTGTAACTCAGTTTTTAAGAGAACGGAGCGTCCGATTTTTAATAATTACAACAATATTTTACTTCTATTGACAAGATGAATAATTGATCAAATTTTCATGAAGGCAGGTCTAGCAGTTTCGGAGATCTAGTGAAAAAAGTAAGAAAAAATGCTATTTGGCGGTCAAAAATGATCATTAGGCATATGCACATCAAATTATCTGATATTTTATAGAGATTTTAACAATAAGTATAATTTTTTTTTACATTTTTATGGGTTCCGTACCAATGCTTATCCGTTAGACGGCGGCGCTTACGCGCTTTGACATTTCGTCTCTATGCAGTTAAAGCAGTACGATTGCTTTGAAAAAAGTTCAGAATTTCCAAAATATGTCAAAATAAAGAAAACATTTTTTTTTCAATAAAAATTTTTTTTTTCAAAAAAAGTAATTTTGTTTCAAATTTATAGTTTCTCAAAAATCTAACTTTTTTTAAGTAAAACTGTTTCAAAAATGTTAATAGTTTTTAAAAAAATAATAATTTTTGGTACGGGAAGTTCCAGCAATTTGCCTTAAGGCACGATGCCATGCCCCCCACTAGTTTTTCTTCGGTTTTTCCACGAGAGAATTGATGTTTCGCCTATTCCATGTTGTATGTATTGGGTTCGAAAAGCGCGTCACACGTAATACGTACATATCGTCGGCACCCGACGGTGCTAATGGAATGGGTGGTCCAACGCGCGCACCTCGATCAATACGGCACCGGCGCTTTGGCAAACCAAAATGGCTACGATAAGACTTCGCCCGATTCGATAAGGATTTGTTAAGCTATGAATTTAAATTTTTAGTCCATGGTTAATAATTTGTTATACTCGTGCTAGAAAGTCAGTTCAAGTGTTTTGCAACTCAGCTTTCTGTGGACATTTGTTTGAATAATTCTGTTGTGCGAAATTGTGTGGCTGGAATTGATTAAACCAATATCGAAATATTTTAATTTTAATACGTAACAATTGCAATGGGACTTCTGTAAGTAAGTGAATTATTATAATATCAATAACATTTTTAACATATGTTAAGCATTGGTTAAATGTTATATTTTTTTTATAATATGTAACCGTTATTCAAGTTTGATGTTACTTTTTTATATTAATAATAAAACCATCATTATTCATTCATAATCAATAGCATTTTATGCTGATGATTAAATTATACCTCTGTATAATTTAATGTTATTATTTTTGATGTTTAAACTATGATGCGATTTATAAATTTGAACATTTTAATAAATTTTGGTTTTAATTTAATTGTTAATACCAATTATTCAAATCGCATAAAAATGATATTATTTCATACCGCATGAGATTTTTTTGAAAGATTCGTTGATTTACGTCAGAGTTTCTGTGCTTCAAGATTTGACATTAAGACGATTCTATCGATTATACATTTCTACATGGAAATGTATATGACTATGCCAAAAAAAACGTGATCTCTCTTATGAATAATCTGCCTTGGCCTATACTATAGTCATTATAGTGTGGAAGTGTTGTCTATAAAATTCATAATTTTTTGTTGTGAATTACTATATAAGAATAAAAAAATAGTTGAAATATTTTATTCATAGTGATTGAAAGTGAAAATTTCAGAATTAAATATATCTAGGAATTTCGTTCAAAAATGATTTTCTTACCTAAATATCTGCCTAATTAATTTTATTATACATTGAATATTTTAGATGCATCCATGATTTGGAGAGTAGAGGATGTTAAAAATAACAAAAGGTTTAAAGAAGAAAAAGAAAGGCAAAAAGAAATCTAAAGACGCAGATTTATTCACTGAAGAAGAATTAGAACAATATCGAAGAGAACATTCAGCGCATTCTCAAGCCGGTTCTCCGAAAGAAGAAGTTAGTGAAAATGTTAAATTATAGCATGACACTTGGGTATGATAATTCTTAATAAATAATTTAAAATTTTGATTGTTAGGAGGCTGGTGAATCATCTACAGCACCAAAAACTGACAACGATGAGTGGTCGAAATTCAACGCACTTACAGCGGGCGTTGATTCCATTTTGAAAAAGACTCAAGGAGATTTAGAGGCTATTAAAGAAACTTCATTTTTTCAAAGAGTTACTCCAGCTGCTAGAAGAGAACAAGAGAAAGAACAAAAGGAACAAGATAAACCGCCAGAAGTCGTTGTAACAGAAGTACCCCAAACCGACCAAGTAGAAGTTCTTGACGGTGTTGTTAATTTAGAAGAATTAGAATCGGAAAGTGAATATGAGGAAGAAAGTGACGACATTTTTGACACATCTTTTGTGGATGTTGTAGAAAGTGGCGAAATACAATTGGCATATATTCCAGATTCTCCGACTGAAGAAGAACTAGGGCCGGATCCGTTTGATACATCGTACGCCGACAGAGTTATTAAAGGCCCTGAGGTTTCTAAGAGAGGTAAAAAACTTGTTAGTATTGGATCTGCAGTTGAAGTTTTAACTGGTAGGGCAGAAATACCGACATCTTGTGTGAAAAGACCAAAACGTCGTGGGCCACAGGATCTTTTGCTTGAAGAAACTGACGAGGTACCAGTTGCAGATGTTACAGAAGCTGCAAAATCTATAAACGTACCAAAAAGTCTTCTTGATGATGAAGTGGAGATTCCAGATGTACCTATTGACTTAAGTGTTTCACTTCATCCACCTACACCCGTTGCACCTGTTGCACCCGTGAATGCAGAACTAGAAAGTTTTGAACCAAAAATCAATGTTGCAGAGTTTGAAACAGATGATGTCGATGATGAATTTGCGCAATTAGCTGCCGAATCGATATCAAAACCTAAAGAAGAAGTATTAGATTTTACAGCAATAAGTAAAGAAGTACTCAAGACAGTAGAAACTGACGGTTGGGCCGCTTTTCAAGATTCAAATTGTAACTCTAGTGACATTGAAGTACCAGCTGTCATTAAGAAACAGCCACCAGCTAGACCGACTCAAGGTCCAAGTGTAGTGAAATTTGAAGAAATCAAAGATATTGATGATTTAGAATTAACTGATGTAGACCCATTCGATACAGCGTTTGCAGAAAATATTTTGCCAGGAAAAGTTGAATTAAAACTTATAGAAAAAGAAATACTAGATGATTTTGATTTTGATCCAAGAGCAGAAGAAAAAAATCCTTCAAAATTTAACAATCGAATTTTATCAGGTGTCCACATTCATGTAACTGACCCAGCTGGAGAACGAGAATCAATTTCAGGCTTGTCAGATGAACGTGTCTCAGAAAATGATTTATCTGCACTGAAAGTAGGCCACAGAGACTTGTTGGGTGGAAGCACAACTGATTTATCACAACTTGCTGATGCTCCCATAAGTCCTAAAGAAGTTTTGTCAGATGATTATTTAGAATATTGCGATCCATTCGATACGTCTATTGTAGATCAAGCTGTAATACCGGGTCGAACTGAATTGAAGTTTTTAGAAAAAGAATTACTTGGCGAAGAAGGTGGTTTAAAACATTCTTTAAGCGATCCAGACTTCGATCCTCGCGCAGAGGAAAAGGAACCTGTACCGCAACCTGCTTTAAGAAAATCATCCAGACCTGATATTTTACCGGTCAACAGCAAACAAGTTGTATTTGCCGTTCCTGGCTTAAATACCGATGAAAGTGAACTATTAGGTTGTTCACAAAAGCCTGGAAAACCTGTAACACCTTATTACCCTAAAGTTACATTGTATTCACAAGTGGGCGAACAAGAAGGTCAAGAGCAAGTAACAGAATCAGCATTGACACATAGTTTATCAGACCAAGACTTTAATCCAAGAGAGGACATTGAAATATCAAAACCTACACGCCGCCATTCTGATTTTACTTCGCATTCGCTAAATTTAGATTCAACATTTAAACCAGATCTATTGTCTGTTGACGAGGAATTATCGGATAAAGTCCTTACACCAGCTGGCCCGCAAGAAGTCGAAGAAGAGTTTACGTATGCAGATCCTTTTGATACATCTATTGCATGTGATTTAAAACCAGGCAAAGCCGAACTAAAGCTTTTAGAAAACGAACTAGCTATAGATCAAAATACAACGACAAAAGTTACAACCTCTTTCGATTTACCAAAGACAATTTCTCAGCCCCAAGATTTATTAAGTCATCCGGCAAGTTTGGTGGAAGCGAAACCTTTATCTCCACAACCAATCTCGGAGACGACTGAAAAGTTTATTGCTGAATTTAGTTTGGACGACGATATAGATCCGTTTGACACGTCTATTGCAAATAACATAGGACCTGGCAAAACTGAAATAAAATTGCTTGAATCTGAGTTTATGCAATAGTTTCACAAATAATTATTTTTGTTAATAATTTACTATAATCAATATTTAGTGAGTAACTAATAAGTGACAAAAATGGCAAATCAAAATGCAAACCCGTTTTTAATTGATGATGAATACGTTTCATCATCAGTTAAGCCATCAAATCCATTTTTGATGGATGAAGATTATGAAACTGAAGGTAATGCTCCTGATAATCCATTTGTAGGCCAAGATACCAATCCATTTGCTTGCGGGTTTGAGGAAGTCGATTCATCGACTGTAGCGTCTAATTTTTTCACTACTATGGATACAATGCCTACAACAATGGCTGACATCATTTATGCGCAAGCTGGTCAAGCGATTGATACTGTCACCACAGACATACTACTTTTTGATGATGGTGGTATGGATTTACAAAATAGCGAGACATATCAGCCGCAGAAGCCAATGGATTTGAATCTAAAGGATAAAAATCGAATAGCTAATGAAGATGAAGCATTAAATGCATATAGTAGCGAAGAAGAATTGAACAGAGCTTTAAAAAAGATTCCACCCGCCCGACCGACTCCACCATCAAAAGAAACACAAGATCTAATATTATCTGTAACCGGACATATGGAACAGACTAGTTCTCATTTATTAGATCGCCTTCCTGTTACCAGAACACCAAGTCCAGTATCTATGCGCGATTTACATTCTCCTAGTCCAACACCAGAAAATACATTTGGAGAATTTTTAAATATAGAACCCAAACCAATCGTGCCACAACCAGAGCAACCGGTGGAAATGAACTTCTTTGATTTGGATGATGATAATGATAAATCAGTAGCTTCTCAACCTATTTCTTTAAAAAGTGATAATCCTTTTGCTGCTGATGTAATGGAATCAGGGTCTATTGCTCAAGAGTTCATTGACCATGGATCTAATATATTCATGCAAGAAATATCTCAATCAACGGTGCCACCAAAACCCTCGATACCACCACAACCAGTAGTACCACCACAGCCAGTAGTACCACCACAACCAATATTACCACCACAACCCGTAGTACAACAATCCATGCAAAATGTACCTCCTTCAAGACCTGCACCTCCAGTACGTCCTGCTCCCCCTCGACCACAACCCCCAGCAAGACCCATCTCTCCAAGTGTTCAAAATATACCCCAAAGACCGCCACCGCCTGCAAGGCCGATAACACCTGTACAGCAAACCAATGATAACGATCTTCTTGACATGTTCGGAGAAAAACCATCTGCTCCTCCACCTCCAAGTCCAAAGCAGACATAGCAGACATTAAACTTATTTTCAGCAAATACTACAACACTGCACCTCCACCGCTGATTTATTAAGTGATGATAGTTTTTTGTAGGCGGAAACTCCACCGCAAATAACAGAAGTCGCACCACTGTCTACAGCTCCATTATCTGCACCAATTGTTTCGGTCGCGCCAACTGTACCTGCTCGAAGAAGTAATGAACCGTCACCCGCGATCACACCTACTACAAATCCGTTTGAAGTTATGCCCGATGAATCGGTTATTAATGAATCGGCAAGTTCAGCAAGTTCTAAGTTCTCAAACATCTCCTCAAAGCTATGTTGAAGCTGGTCAGATTTGCACGGAAACAGACAAAATTATACGGAACCTATTTATCAGCCAGTAATATCTGACGTATCGGCTGTTCCTTCGCAAATAGCTTCACCGCCTAAGTCGACTTTGCCGACTGACGACGCATTTGATGCATTTGCGGCCAAGTTTGATCTTCAGTGAAGATCGTAGTTCATCTGGAGCGGATCCTTTTGGGGGAGCAGGAGGTGCTAGTGCATGGGGAGGAATGGATGTCGACTCATCGGGTGCAGCATCTGGTTTTGATGCAGATGACGGTGGGTTTGATGCTTTTTTGACTATGAGTGAACCACCTCCAGTGCCGCAAGGTACGCCTGCAAGGCCTTATGGTAGCAAAGCCGAATCCTTGGATTCAGAAGAAGGAAAAGACTTCTCAATCTTTATAAAGCAAGTATTATTTTATTATCAATTTCAATATGTTTTTGAATGAAAAGTAATAAGAACGACAAATGATACATAGGGATGCACTCAACAACAGCATTGCAATAACTTTAATTTTTTTTTTTAGGCCTAAAAATGGCGATGCTTTATCTTCGGAAAGTGTCACTCCAGCATTAGCACCTCCACCTACGCCATTAACAGCTGCTTTAACAGATACAAGCCCGCGATTTAATCCATTGATAAGAGTGAAACATATAATGAGCCCCCAACGTCATTACCTATGGAACAAGGTAACATTATAAACCAAAGTAAATAATTATGATTTAAATATTAATATATATGTTTGAATCTTTTTATATTTATTTAATTAATTAGAATAAATTAATTACAATTAATTTTAGTATTTTTTATAGATGGATCATCGATGCAAAAGAACTGATTCACAGGAAACCCCGCCCCACACCACTTTTTGATGAAGATGTTTCCCAACCATTGGAAGATTTTTTCCAAGAGTTAAATACACTGGTGAAGGCTGGGATATGCAGTTACGTCAACCGAATAAAAAGAAAATTACTGGCCAAAGGTGCTGTACTATTCCTATTTTTAATATTTTATATAAGCGATATTTTAAAATATAAAATAATATGTTACAGATTCTGGAAGAAAGTATTTATCAAATTGGTGTATCAAGGCGACAGTCCTGTGTTTTATTATACAATAGTTCAGAGATAAGAGCTTTTCAAGAACTTCCGTGCAAGCATGTTATTCCGTATCTGAGATAGGCGCGCAACAACACTACGATACATTGGAAAAATATTTACAGTAAAACTTCAGTATGTTTTCTATAAAGAAAGACCTGGTGTACGACTGGCAAGTCACAAAAGCAGAAAGGATAACGAATAAATTAAGCCAATTTGCTGCTTATGCAATTCAAGGAGATTATGCAGGTGTAAAGAATTTGGAGTGATCTTAAGAAGTTAGGTTTGCCTGTCGAA